TATTTAGACGAACAGTCAGGATTTACTGCCCAGCATAAATTACAAAATAGAATTCTAGGCATAGTAGAAGATTTAAGGTTAACTATAGCTGCATGTAATAGACCAGCTCTAGCGATTTTCGTGGATTGCAAAATAGCATTTGATAAAATGTGGTACCCGGCGCTTTTGAAAATGTTAGAAGAATTAGATATGCCGTTAGAACTTAGGCGTTGGATTTATGAAATCCCTGACTGCCTGATTTTCGGGGAGTGGGGAAAAATAATGAAGTCCCTAGTGCTTTACTGGTGATTCTCTAGGGCCTTCTCAGGGAGAGTGTATAACATATTCACAGTTTTGTTTTGCGTCCGGAGACGCATATAAAACACGATGATTTAAACAGGAACATTTCTCTGTTTTAGATAAGTGTAGCTGCTTCCGACTGAGACTCGTCGGCATTAACTCGTCGTATCGATGTGCGTTAAGTTTTCATCCGAGTGACTCATCCGCTGGATGAGGTTCACTGGAAGGCTGAGGTGAGGAAGAATTTTGAAAAGGAGCAGCTGAATTTCCATCAGAAATCAACTTTTATGCAACAGAAATATCCTATTCCGATTCAGGACCAAAAGCTGAGTCGGCTATTTCTATCTCATCCAACTACTTTACTTTTTGTCGAACTGTTACATTGAAAAATTATCGAGATTTTCACCAAAAAAATGAAAATCAGCTAAAAATTCCAAAATACAGACTAGTCAACGCAGTTTTTGATCCTGATTCTGAATATGATATTTTTGTCACATAAAAGTTGACTTTTGATCGAAATTGAGAATTACGAACAGAATTTTGACTTTTCGTCTTCAATTTAGAAAAAATAAATTTTTCCAGCAACGAAGCAAAATTTAAAAAAAGGTTCTCCACACTTTTATTCTATGTTGAACAGCGGATCGAATGCGGCTAGAATCAGGGTTTCAGTCCTTAACAGAATAAACTAGATAGGTTTTCAAAATTTGTCTGTGAAATTTTACTTCTCTACCCCTGTTTTTTTTCTTGCGTCAGTCACGTAATATGTGATAAAGTTCAAAATAACGTTGTTCGACAGCATTGTTCCCAGCATTTTTTTGTTTGTTATCAGCATCGCACAAATGATGCATGAATTTTATATCGTATTAGTTGCTGTATACACTAGACTCCCAAGGGTTTATTATTAATACAAATGACAGTCAATTTTCTATACTGCAGATACCGTTTGCAGTCATTCACGATTGTTTAATTACTTTGCTTCACAGCTTTCTTTATTTAGCAACAAAACTGATAATCTTTATCGACGAAGTTATAGGCCAACATCGTACGTCTTTTGTCAGCAATTTTCATCACAACGATAGTCCAGAAACCGGAACATTTCCATTCACATCCTATTCTCTTGGCTGTTATTTTTCGCGTCACAAAGCGCTTGAATATCGTCGATTTCTTTCTAACAGCATCGCAGTTTTTACTTTTACAGGAATGTCTATTATACATTTAGTATAAATTGGGAGAAGACGCAGTTTCGTTTGCGTGGAATATTTTATTCCTAATAGACGCAACCTTTTCTGAACAATGAGCTATGTAAATCGAAACTGGAATCCGAAAGATTTCGATCTTTTTCGAAATATTATTTTGTGGAAATATCGTGCCAGGTGAATTACAGGACTATTTTTACCAAGTAGCAAAGAAAAAAGGAAGGATCACCTCACATATATACGGTACTGTGGATCATTGGGTCAGCATACCGATGAAGAGGTGAAAAAATTTATAGATCATGCAGCATGTCAAATGAAAAAAAGAAGCTGAGTGACATGGAATAATTACCAAAGCAGAAACACACTCTAAAACACATTCAGAATCATGTAAACGATCTAATGAATGAAGCTTTACAAACGGTATTCAGCACATGCACAGTTATTGAAACGAACTTCTTGTGATCCTTGGGTAACCAACTACAATGACACCTTTATTCCAAATTAGGATGCTAAGATGAATGTTCAGTTGGTGGTGAAAGCGCATGCTTGCGAAATACACATGTTGTACAATATGATTTGTCCCGTTCAACTTTCACACCGGCTATATCTTTAAATTCGGCAAATAAACACTACCACAAATGTTGTTTTACTTTATTGGTAAAGCAGAAAAACAGGTGAGCGACACTGTGAAAAATGCACACTCTCATATAAAAAATCAAAATATGACCATAAAAGAAATGAAAGTTCTATTCGGTGTTTATTTCCAGCACAGAGAGGTTTCTCCCCAAAAAAGCTCTCAAATCATCTTATCCACCCCAACTGTACGAGCAGAGTTCACTCAAAACACATGCTTGGCGCGAACGCCAAAAAAGACCCTGGAAACCAAAAAGCAACACATCAAGCCAAGCCCCTGTAACGACTTTTGGAAAATCGACTAAGTGGAACACCGAATTGACACAATTAGGCCGCTCCGATGCTCACCTAAGTTTGACATCTTGTCAGAAAACTAATGTTCAGCAAGACTCAGAGACCACCGGCGGAAACGTGCCCTTGCCAGTACCAAGATAAACACTAACAGTATTTGAACCGTACTCCGTCACAGCCACATCAAGGTTGGCATCATTATTTAGATCAGATGTCAAAACTGAATAAGGCTCTACTAAATCCGGATAGCTCATTTTGAAGTCAAATGAAGTGCCACTGTTCCCAAATAGAACAGTCACAGTGCCACCAAAATCAGCTGTGATTAAATCCACATTGTTATCATTATTCATATCCGCAACAAAAATCGAATAAGGATAAGTTCCCGTAGGATAGTCAGCTCTTGCTCGAAACGTTCCGTCCCCAATACCCAAAAGAATGGTCACTGTACCTGGTCCAATATTGGCCACAGCCAAATCCAAAAAAGTGTCCTTATTTACATCAATCGCAAAGACCGAAGATGGGTTGGCTCCCACTGTATAGTCCACTTTGGCTTGAAACGTACCATTCCCGGTACCCAACAGCATACTAATCGTATTAGTACCTTCATTTGCTACAGCTAAATCCATATTGCCATCCTGATTGAAATCGGCTGCAACCAATGACCAGGGAGTAGCTCCTGTAGGATAATCCACTTTGGTTGTAAACAATCCGCCGCTAATTCCAAGTAGAATGCTAACCACACTCGCACCAGCAGCTGCCACAGCCAGGTCGATAATGTTATCATTATTTGCGTGAAAAAAAATAACGCATCGTGGGTCAACATTAACAGCATAAGTAATCCCCGGCGTGACAAATGACCCGTTACCGGTGCCTAAAAGAATACTAACTGTGTCTGGACCAAAGTTTGCCACAGCCAAATCAAGATTGTTGTCCTGATTTATATCGAAAGCAGCTATTGAAAAAGGATAACTTTGTACGGTATAGTCAACTTTGCCTTGAAATGTACCATTCTGCATACCGAGAAAAATGCTTATAGTGTTTACAGCAGCATTAGCCACGGCCAAGTCAAGATTGTTGTCATGATTTAAGTCAACCGCCAAAACAAACTGAGGACTGAGTCCGGTGGTATAGTGGACTACCGGCTGAAACGTGCCCTTGCCAGTACCAAGATAAACACTAACAGTATTTGAACCGTACTCCGTCACAGCCACATCAAGGTTGGCATCATTATTTAGATCAGATGTCAAAACTGAATAAGGCTCTACTAAATCCGGATAGCTCATTTTGAAGTCAAATGAAGTGCCACTGTTCCCAAATAGAACAGTCACAGTGCCACCAAAATCAGCTGTGATTAAATCCACATTGTTATCANCCAAAGTTTGCCACAGCCAAATCAAGATTGTTGTCCTGATTTATATCGAAAGCAGCTATTGAAAAAGGATAACTTTGTACGGTATAGTCAACTTTGCCTTGAAATGTACCATTCTGCATACCGAGAAGAATGCTGATGGTAGTTCCAAGAGAGTTGGCAACAGCTAGATCAGTTAGATTGTCATGATCGAGGTGAGCGGCAAGAACAAAGCTAGGGCCAGATGTTGTTTGATAGTGATTGGGGTTGGAGAGACTGCACACTATAAGGTAAAAAGAAGGAAGTTATCAAGAGAATTCGTGACTGCAGGTTTAATGTTCTAATCGTAAAATTCTGAGTTTTCTGGACACTGTAGTTATTTATTTGTCGTTTATTTTAATGAAGTTCAATTTAGAAAACGCTTAGATCTATTTCTCAAGAGATAGCGATGGTAGAAGTTTAAAATGGCGGGAATTTTCTGAAACGCTAGATCTCAGTGCTTACTAGTATGTGAAGTTGTTGAACTCGTTGGCATAGTGGAAGTTTGGAGCGTTGTTGAACTCGTCACCACGGTGGAAGTTTGGAATGTTGTTGAACTCGTCACCATGGTAGAAGTTTGGAATGTTGTTGAACTCGTTAGCACAATGGATGTTTGGAATGTTGTTGAACTCATCAGCACGGTGGAAGTTTGGAATGTTGTTGAACTCGTTAGCACAGTGGATGTTTGGAATGTTGTTGAACTCGTTAGCACAGTGGATGTTTGGAATGTTGTTGAACTCGTTAGCACAGTGGAAGTTTGGAATGTTGTTGAACTCGTTAGCACAATGGATGTTTGGAATGTTGTTGAACTCATCAGCACGGTGGAAGTTTGGAATGTTGTTGAACTCGTTAGCACAGTGGATGTTTGGAATGTTGTTG